TATAAGAGAGGTTCCCTGGAGCATTGTGAATGTATGAAGAGAGCTTATTTTTGTATGGACTATTTTTCCCTAATTTTTTGGGTAGGGTTTTGGAGGAGATGAGCTTGGAAACAGTTTGATCATAATGTGAATGACCCCTCTATTTTGCATTATGTCCTTGATTATAATACTCTTGAAAAATGCTTGGCTTTGATGAACCATTTTAAATCAACTCCTTTTGCTCAAGCCTTGCGGTATTTTGCCCCAACATTCGTATTTTTAAAGACACGCTCCTCGATCTCCAGGATCTGGGAGGAAGTACCCTCAGAAAGAACTCAGACTTTACCATGAACTCGACATAGATTTCCCCAATTATTCGAAGCTTGAAAAGTTTATACTTGAAGTTGCTTGAAGAATTTGGACCCTACGTGTAGTAGGATGAACTTGGTATGCACTGCCCCAACATTTGAATCTTGGAAAGTTTCCCCTGATCATCAATTCCTTGAGAAGCTTGTTAACATAAGAAAACTGAGTCATACTCTGTTGTGATATGAGTTGATTAAGGAATGATCTTTCGAAAGGTATGCCCTTGATTGAACATGGCTTGAAAATTTGATCCAAGTTGATTGAATCTTAGAATGCTCACCCCTTGTCAATAGTACCTTCGTGTGATATACCCCTATGATCAATAGTCTTGCTTTATAGGGTTCTACTTTAGATTCTTTGCCCCTAGTTAGAAGCTTCTTGAAAATACTTCCTTTGATCAGACCAATTTTGAAATTTCCTTGATGCTAAGTATCGATTCGTAGATAAAATTGTACATTTGAAAAGTAATTATGTTTGATGCACATGCAAGTTTTTGAAACCGAAGCTTGATTATTTGAAAAGAAATGGAAGATTAGAATATGAATATTTGAAGAAGTGGAGATGATTAGTAATTTTAACAAACGTAGGAGTCAATTTAATATAAATCTTACTGAGTATGCTTTCATAGTGAACCTAGCTTCAACTAGGACTTTTAAAGGTTGTAACGTGGCCATGGTTCATGGTTTAAGAAAAAATATATATAAGGATCAAAATTTATTTAGCCCACCCCATTCTCCTTGATGTTCTTCAATTCTAAATTCAATTAATCCAAAAGATACATTTAATCCCCAAGAGAAATTTTGTAGTCGTGCAGATGATGAGAAGCATAGATAAATATCCAAGCGCCGATGAAAAGAATTTGATAAGATCCAAGCATTGATAAGATCCAAGAGTTGATGATAAGCCTTGATGATTCTTGAGGTGGCAGTCACAAGATTGTTCTCCAATTTATTCATTTTTAATCCCTTATTTTGCATGGACCAATTCTTTTGGATTTTCCGGTCCTTTAGGATGCCCTAACTTTTGCCTAAGTCAAGTTTTAATTTGCTTTGACTTAGCGGGATTTCTCTATATTTTTTTGAATTTCTTTTTTTCCGCTTTTGGTCATGAAAATTTGTGACTACCATACTGATTGTTGTAAGCTTCATCTTCATCGTTTCCTCGATCTTGATTGATGTACTGAGGAAGAAGACGCCGTGGACTTTGTCTTTGTTGATTCATCAATATTGGATGATGTGCAAGGAGAAGATGATGTGCTCAAATCATGGCTTAGATTGTTTCCTCAATGATGTATCAAGGAAGGAAATATGCTTGAACCTTTGCTTAGACCGTTTCCTCAATGATGTATCGAGGGAAGATATATGCATGAACCTTTTACGTAGATATACTGATTCTCTTGAGATCTGAATACATCTATGAATTAATTGAAATTTACCCTGCCCCTGGTTAAAAATTAAGGGTTTTTGAAAATAGAAAGAACTCCAACTTCTGACTCGAGGGGGTTAACTACAGATTAACTCCTTATTTCTTCATTGTTTAGGAAGTGAAACAATGCCTTACATCGTCAGCTAAGCCTTACTATTAAAAAAGCATATGTCAACAAAATTTGATTATTTTGTAATTTCATCATTCTCCATCAAAGTTTGTTAAAGTTACGCAATGGAAGATAGAATAAAAGAAAAGAAAGTCGTTAATTATTCATGGAATGAATCGACTTCAATAACATGCATGCTTATTTTATTAAAATTATTTGATCAAAGAGTACAAATTTTATAACAAATAACACTTAGCAAGAAAGAAATTACAATTTGAAATGATAAAGGCCTAATGATCTAGGGATAAGCCTTCTTGTTGACCCACTGACTTTAGGGGGTTCTTCTTTAGTGTTTGGACTTGTCAAGGCAAGGGCGACCATTCACCAATGAGACCTCTTCTTCAAAAGTCAACTGCTTACTGTCGATCAAATCTTGGACCTTGTGTCTGAAAGCCCAACATTTTTCTATGGTATTCCCGAGAGAATTGGCATGATACTCGCACTTTGCATTTGCATCATATTTAGGTGGAAGTGCCACAATTGGAGGAGCAAGTGGCTTCAGCTCTACCAAGGATGCCTTGAGTAAATGTTGTAGCAACTGACTGTGCGATATGGAAAGTGGATCAAATCTCCTAGATTAAATATCCTTTGTTGGGCATATATCTTCTGTTAATAGGGTTGTTGTAGTTGTTTTTGAGGCATGGGAACTTCCCATGGTGGCGGCATCTGTGGTGCTGAATAGGGCTGGGGTTGGGATGATGAAGGGTTGCCTTCGCTCCTTAATAATAATTGCATGATCAAGTTCATTTGAGTCTTCAACTGGTGGACCTCCTCCTTCAATAGTTCTTGGCCTCGTTTGAGTTTCTCCAGTGCTTCTTGATACATGCTTTGAGTTTGCTTGTGAGTATCGAAAATCTTGCTAGTTGATCACAGTTGGATAAGGGTGGAAGTGTAAATGATATGAACTTTGTGCAAAATGGATGAAAATGAAAATGTATGAAAATGCTTGGGAATGCAAAAATGTTTCATGGATATGCAATGAGACATAGACGTAGTATGATAGTAGACGTAGGGGTACCATATACATGTTTAAAGATAGACATGATAACACTCTACACTGACTCAGAAATTGAGACAGACAGAAACTCCTTAATAGATATGGATTTGATGATATCCTACATTATCTCAGAGATTGAGACAAGCAGGAATTCCATAAGGATTACAGTAAATGAAAGATGGAGAGGAGTCACTAGAGGATAAGGATGATGATAAAGACATAAGCCCTACGGGTTAAAGATAGCAGTGGATGGAAAGATAACCCTTGCGGGTTTAAAGATTGTAGTGGGATTTTTTAAAGGTATCCTTAGAAGGTACATTTCTAGTATTGGCCTACGGATATTCTACCATCCCTATAAGGTGGCTTCCTTAAGGGTATCATGAATAACACTATAGGGAAAGGCATAAGGGCCTCCCTTAAGCGGAGTCTCTTTACAGACCGAACTTTCATTTTTAGGTCATGAAAAGTCTCATCACGAGTTTTTGGTTTAAATGTCCTACAAAGAGTCATAGGTGTCATTCCAAAGTCCTACTTCCCAAGAGGATGTCTCTCGGGAGGTATTCCTTTTTTGGAATTCCACCAGCCCTAGGCGAAGTCGTCACATAAACTCATAGGGTTGATGTAACCCCTTGTCTAATAGACGAACCTTCTTTCTAAGGTTTTATTAAAAATATTTTTTTGTAATAATTAAATCCCACTACAAATATAACAATATAATAACAAAATAATAAGCAAAATAAATGAATAAATAAATAAAGCAAAATAAAAAAACCCAAAAAATAACAAAAATCCTAAAACTTAAAGGAGATGCTTCTAAACCTAGGATTGAGTCCCCAACTATTGCAACTAGTTTTTTATCAGAGTCGCCAATCTTAATTTTTATCCTAAAGGAAGGGAGTATAAATGAATAACCCTAAAAGAAATTCAGAGATTCTAGTTTTGGACTCGATTTTAGACGAGGGGAAGGTGTTAGACACCCCTCCTCTATCTTGTTCACAAGGATACCAGGTTTAGAAGCGCGTTGCTTAGGAGATAGGGTTTTTATTATCTTTAGGAGAAAAGGGTTAGAACATTATTTAGCGGGAAATGATTTGAATTTTAGTTAGCGGGACTTGCCACGATTTTTGATCGTATGCCTACGTATCCTCTTCGGAGGCTTTAGATTCCCATTTTGTAGTTCGTAGGGTTGTTTATATTTTTTATGGATTGCGAAATATATTTTGAATTTCCTGCATTCGTTGTCTAAGAGTGTGAATAGCGGAGTTTGTTAAACCAAGTACGCAATTAATTTAAATATATTCGTATTCCTTTTCGAAAATTAATTATTCGAATTAATTTAATTTGTGAAAAAAAATTTGTTGTTTGATTGAATATTTCTTATACGTAAAGCGAGGGAGTCTGATATAATCTCCTTCATCACGTGGTCAGATATTGACCACATGTCGCTCATTAGTAAATTGCGTGTGTTTTTTTTTTATAAAAATTTTAAATTAATTTAAGTTTACGATAGTGTTTGATTAATCTACAAAGTTAGTGATTTATGTTAAAAGGGAATTAAGCTAATTAAATTTAATTAATTTAAAACAAATCCGATTCTTGTTAGTAATTGGAAAAACTAAATAAATCAATTCAAAAACACTAATGAACTAAGTTAATTACCCAAGAAAATAGTTAACTAGGAATAATAAAGCTAAAGCTAGATAAGTAAATAAGCAAAACAACTAAAAAGGAATAAATGAGATAAGGTGTAAAAATGAACCTGGGGTGCAAGACCAATAAAATGGTAAAAACCCGATTGAACCTAAAGTTCAATATTAAGTAAACTAATCCTAATATTAACTTAATAACTAAACAAAAAATATTTATAAAACAAGCCAAAAAAAAACCAGGGGCGGTGCAATTTGTATGTGATAAGGAAGTGGGACTTTTTCCACTCCCAAAATTGGCCACTCAGAACTCAACACGTGGCAGAAGTTAAAAAAAGAAAAAAAATAATACAAAAAATATAAAAAGGAATTAAAAAGGACAAGTTACAGTATTGAAGCGCATTCCTCATCTCTCTCGTTACTGCTCTTCAATTATCTCCAAAGTTCTTTTGCTTTCCGGCGGCGGTGGTGTCGATCCGACACGGATAATGGCGAGAGATTCACGGCGGTTGGCCGGTTCTGGATGGCTCGGTCGCACATTCCAAGGCGTTGCGGGTTGCAGCTCTCTCGGCAGGATGGTGGTGGTCTCGTCAGAGCTGCGATGGATCTGAGTCGTTCGCATTGGCGATCATCGTGTGGTGTTGCAGCCGCGAGTGGAAGGTGGTGACGACTATAGTTCATAATTTGTAGTTAGCTATTTGAAAAAAATTGCAGGTGATGGTGTTGAAATTGTTCAGGTCTGTTAAAAAAAAAAAACTTAGACTCACATGAACAAATGTGAAAAAAAACGTTTTTCTGACTAAACACAAAAATCCAAAAATCTAAAAATAAATTAATACAGAAAAGGTTGTGGGTTGGTGATTGTTGATGTTACTGTAAATAAAAAAACACTAAAAAACATAATAGGGTTGAAAATGTGATGTCGGCCTCTACATTGTATGTGGAAAAAAACGTGATAGTGAATATGCTTAGTGTGAACACCATAAATGGAAATGTTTGGTATTAAAAGATAATTAAAAAATACAACCACAAGATAATCTCATCACAAAACAACAAACATGTTAATATTGAAAAAAAGAGGCAATTTGAAAAATAAGAAAAAGGGGCCTTATAAGTTAATTATTGACTAAGAGTAGTTGTTGTCTGATATAGACAACAAACTTAAAATTAAAAAAAAGAATGGTAAGATGTGGATGAATTGTGAAATTGTAAAATTTGTAGATTTGTGTGTGTTAGAAATTGTGGATATTATGGATGAAAAATTAGGATTACGAGAAGCCTTATTTATAGAGTGAGAATTAGGTTAAAGACTTAACGATTTATTTTTATGGTCGGACTTTCTTTTGATCCTTGTTTTTATTTCCTGCATCCCTAGTGATGTCTTTTGTCACCTTTGAATCTGTTTGTTTGCATGCATATCATAATCATTTCATGGTATCTTAGGGTAAAAAATAAGGCTTATTTTATATTTAAGTATCTTCAATCGCGTCGACATGAAGATTTTAACCTCCGTATCTCCGAATAGAAGACACTTAAATAAGGACAGCTGTTGTATCCCAATTTTTACCCCTAAGATTCTTCTATCATCTCATACCATCACAATGCAACAAGATCACACTATGCACTAACAGTCTGGAAAGTTCTCCAGGTATTTCACAATCTTCTTCACCTTTCGCCTCGGTTTGGTAGATCAGATTTTCAAAGTCATAAGTGGCAATAGCAGAGTCGTTATTAACGGGATCCAGAGTGTATGTTGATCTGCAATTTATTGTGTGTGTGCGTGTAAGAACACATAGCTATTTGAAAGTGATAAAAGTAAAAAAGAAAGGCAGAGAGCACAAAATTTGAATGCAAAACATTCAATGCTTTATTAAATGAAAACATGTTTATGAAATGACAACCCTTAACAAACGAACCATTGTGCCCCGGGTAAGGCACAAGGCTTAAAGTCATTGTTTAAATATTACATAACCAAACTTTGGAAGCAATAAAATAGAAATGTAGCTATTACTCCTGCTAAAGGAGATAAAATAATGTCTCAAGTCTCCCAGTTGTTGGGTATATTGCTAATGGTAGGAAAGATCCGGTTGTCAAGGTCATAATCACTATCAACATCTTCTATTACATTGACCCCGTTGTTGCTAACACATAATGGTGGTCTTCCAGCACGAGAACGACAAACAACCCTCTGACTCTCTACAGTGAAACCTAAACCAAATTTGTCAGATTTATACGGAATGTCAGGAAGCTGACCCCAAATAGTACAACCACCTTCTTCTGCAGTACCTCTAGCATCCTTCAAAGAAGCCATTTTAGATGGAACCCTGATAACCTTAGTGTAGCGACTGCTTTTTTAATCAGAGCTGCCACTATTAGTTTTTATCCTAGGGAAGGGAATCTAACAGAAAACCCTAATTCACAGACAGAGATTCTAGGTTTCAGACTTCATTAGACGAAAGGAAGGTGTTAGGCACCTTTCATCTACCTTGTTCACAAAGATACTAGGTTTTAGGTTTAGGTTTGGGTAAAATAGGTTTTTAAGTTTTATTAAGGGAAAAGAGTTTTAGCTTTTAATAGTGGAAAGGGTTTAAATTTTAAATAGGGGAAAGGGTTTTAATTTTGAATAGGGGAACTCACTATGATTTTTGATCGTATGCCTACGTATCCTCTTAAGAGCAATCAAAGTCTCAATTCGTAGTTCGTATGGGGTTGATGTTTTTTAGGGGTCACAAACGTACTTTGAATCACCTCACATTTTGACCGGGAGTAGTGATTGCAGAGATTTTAGCTAAATGCGCGGTTAGTCAAAATTTGTTTGAAATCATTTTGCAAAAATAATTGATTAGCTTAGTGGATTGCGAAAAATAATTTATTGTTTGTTTAGTGTTTTTTAATCGTATTAACTGAAAAAAATCTTGTTAATGCATGATTAATAAATATTTGGTGCAAATAATATAAGAAAATAATATGCATTTTAGAATAAATCAATTTAAATAATATAATAAATAATATTAATATTTACACATGGATAAGAAATAAATAATATTTACATAGTAAATAAAATAATAGTAAATAGAAAAAAGTAATTAATAGATAATAATTATAATAATAATAATATTAAAAAAAATATGATAATTAATATTACTAATAATAATTATTATTATAAATAAAAAATAAATAATATAAGGGAAGATATAATTAAAAGTAAAAAATAAAATAATTTAATTATGATCTAGAGGTGTGTAAAAATTAGTTGGGCCTGACCTATTCAGTAAATTGACAGGGCCGGTTGGGTTATGTGGGTGAGGGAGCATCGAAGTTACGATGGAACTTGGCCTACGGCCGTCTGATCATGATCTAGCGGATGATAACGAGGGAGTATGATAATTAGGATATATGCGCATGTACTGGATTCGAACGAAACATGAGTTTGTTTTTATCTTTTATATTTTATTCATTCGTTGCTTCAGTTCACAGCCTTCTCTCTCTCTCTCTCTCTCTCTCTCTCTCTCTCTCTCTCTCTCTCTCTCTCTCTCTCTATCTCTCTCTCTCTCTCTCTCTCTCTCTCTCTCTCTCTCTCTCTCTCTCTCTCTCTCTCTCTCTCTCGCGCGCGCGCGCGAATAACAACCCTCTTCCCTTTCACTCCCAAATCCTAAATATCTACCCACGGCGGCGGCTCACCAAACTCCTTTCCTAAATCTCCAATCAACAATAAAAAAAGAAAAAACAAGCTAAGTTACCCTCTGTAGCGATTCCGATATTGTCTTGGATCCAGTACTAATCTCTTTTCCTTCTTTGATTTTGTAGGTCTTGCGAGCGATGGTTTCCGGTGATGAGAGGTTGAAGATGATGGTGTACGGCGAAAGCGGCCAACAACGGCGATTGTGGTTTCAGATAATGAAACCCCAATTGTCCTTCTCTTCTTCAACAACGACACTAGATCTTCCCCCTCTGTCCTCAAGCTTTCGCCTCTTTCTCAATTTTGTTCAAATCCGCGGTTCTGTTCTTCAAACTTCCCTCCCCCTTTTTTTTTCTGTATTTGGTTCTTGTATTTATAGACTTAGTATCTTAGGATTGTTACGAACTAGCCTTAATTTTAGGGATTAGAGAATGAATTAGGGATTTCAATTATTGTAATCGATTCTAATTGATATATTTGTTATATTGGATTTGTTCTGTTAATTGTTAATTGTTTTCTGTAATATATTTGATTTTGTTTTAGTGAAGATTGAGATTTAGTTTTCTATAGTATTTGGATTTGATTTGGTAATTGATTCGTAATATTGTCGCCGAAAAATATTTGGTTTTTTTATGAATTTTTAGACACTTTTTGATGAAAAATGCATAAAATAAATTAAATATTATTATTAAAAATTGCCTAAAATAGAAAAACGAAAATAATAATTAAATAATAAAAAATATGATTTTTGAGAAGATTTGAATGTAACTTGAAAATAAAATTAACAAAAATAGAATAAAATAAATCATCAATCCAAATAATTAAAACCCAAAAAGAAGTCAAATTTTTGGATTTATAATTATTGTAACCAATTAAATTGATTCTCTCCTAAAACAAAAATTACTATCTAAAATACAAAAGATAACAAAATATTTTTAAATCTTTTTGTATTTTAGATTTTTTTTGGTTATGTTTAGAATAAAAGGTGAAAAAAATATTTAAAAACTATTTTTTTAAATTCATTAATTGAAAATACAAAATTTAATATTTAAATATTTAAAAATGATTTTTTTTAATGATTTTTATAAATAAAAATATAATTAGTAACAATAAACAAAGAAATATAAAAAATATACCAAGTGAGATTTGAACTCGTGACCTTATGCTTTCAAGCTATGTTTCCTTACAAATTGTGTTATGTTATTTGTTTGAAATAAGAAGTCAATTGAAAGTATATGAACACGAGCAATTATTTGCTATTTTAAAAATATAAATAATTATCATATTTTTACACAGACTTGAAAGTGAATATTTATTAAAAACCCCAAAATATTAATGCAATTAAACCAAAGGAATTTTACACTATAAAACCCAAGTTCGAAAATAACTTATACGGTAGCACTAAGGCGGAAAAATTTGGGGTATGACAACTGCCCCTATTTAATAACTCTTAGATTGAATGGCGCGAGAATGCGTAGGTCTTTGTTTATTCGAATAAGAGATTTATTAAATAATAGAAGATCCCAAAATTTGACCAATGGTTGGCTAGATATGGTTACGCTGATATAACATACCCCCAAGAGTTGGCTAGATAGGGTTACGCTAATATAGCGTACCCCCAAGAGTTTTGAAGAGAATAGGAAAAGTTGATGATGTATCGCTTACCAGGATTTAAATAAAGATGAGGACGATGATTTTGAGCTTGAGAGAGCAATCTTGTATGTCTTGGTTTTGCTTTAGCTTATTGTGATACGGTGGGAAAACTGACTTGAGTGTTTTGTGTTTGATCACAAATGTTGCGGTTTAGAAAGAGTTGCCACCGATTTTCATTTTATCCAAAAGGAAAGGTGAAAAAGCATAGGAAAGACCTTTGAGATTATTTCTTGAGTTCGGAGGGTAGATTATGAAAAGGGAAGGTATTAGCATCCTTTTCATCCATGGTT